AGGCTGAAGATTTATGCCTTTCCAACTGATGTGCTGGATATGCTAACCTGTAAATGTTGATTCAAGTTTTGATCTTAATGAGTGATCTGCTTATCCGATTTGGATTTTACATTTTGCATCTCTCTTCAGATACAGCCTCCTAATCACTTTCAACTGACAAAAACATGCATGGCTGTCTCTTTTCTCACCCAAATCTTTATAGAAAAACATGGTATCAATCATTAAGCTATTTTGTTATTCAGAAGCAATTGTGTGGTATTTGTAGGATTCTGAGATGACTATTAGGTAGGGAAGTACCTTGATAGACAGAAAATCTTTAGGTGTTCAAAGTGTTTCTTTGAATTCTCTCCTTGAGAGGGATATAGAGCTGTACAATTTTACCTTTTACATGCTAAAGCAGGAGGATCTAGAGACCCTAGCCCAACAGAGGTGACCAGAAGACTCCTGCTAATCACAGCATGGTTTTACAAATACTGTTAGCAGTGCTGTCTGAACTAATAGTTATTTTTATCTCCCTGACTACTTCTTCACCTTCTGGCTTGCTCATGTTCTGAAATGACCAGCACAATGATTGCATAGCTTTAACTGTCCTAGTTTAGTTTCATGCTCAAACTTTATACATAATTAAAAACTGCCTCCAATAGCTTGTTCACGAATCAGTGTCATATTGAGTTGTTTAAAGGCTGGATAGCAATACATATAGTTTTATGTAGTACGTGAGTACATAGAGTAATCCTAAAGATAGGAATATTCTTCTAGTGCAGATATTTTGGGAAGCATTCTTCAATTGAATATTTCCTACTAATGTTTCAGTTTAATAGTAGTGCAAACAAGCGATACATGTAAGGTTTTCAGATGCTGCAGGATCCAAAAGCTGCAGTTAATAAAATTCGATCTACAGATCTTTCTGAGCGATGTATAAATTTAGCCAGAAGTCATAATTACATTGTAGATTATACAATAAAGTTTTATCTCTGCACTTCTGTAATTCTGTAATTCATCTTTGACTGTGATGGTTCTATCTATCTAAAAACTTATAAATCTGTTCCTCATTCTTGATGGATCTACTACTTCCCAATTTAAAATTTCAACAAGAAGTTTTAAAATGTGTTTATGGATGTTAAGCAGCTAATTTTCATGCAAGTAGGCCAAAGGGTTGGCATTCTCTTTACTTCCAGTCACCAAAAACTCTACCTGTGTTGTTCTTCTTATTTATAGAATCATAGAATCATTATGATTGGAAAAGACCTTCATCAAGTTCAACCACAAATCTATCATCACCATTCCTGCTGAACCATATCCCTAAGTGCCTCATCTATGTGTTCCTGAAACACTGCAAGGGACAGTGACACAACCACTTCCCTGAGCAAACTGTTTCTTTTACTACTCTTTCTATATAGAAATTTTTCCTAATATCTAACCCAAACCTCCCCTGGTGCATCTTGAGGCCATTTCCTCTTGTCCTATTGGTACCCATTTTGGAGACCAACCCCCACCTCACTGCAACCTTCTTTCAGGTAGTTGTAGAGAGCGATAAGGTCTCCCCTGAGCCTCCTCCAGACTAAATAACCCCAGCTCCCTCAGCTGTACTACAGCCCTTTCACCAGCTTTGTTGCCGTTCTTTGGACATGCTCCAGCAGCTCCATGTCTTTCTTGTAGTGAGGGGCTCAAAACTGAACACAGTTTTGTGTTCATCACCAGGGCCAAGTAGAGGGGGACGATCACCTCTCTGGTCCTGCTGGCTACACCATTCTTGATACAAGCCAGGAGACCCTTGGCCGCCTTGCCCCCCCTTGGACACACTGCTGCATGTTCAGCCGGCTGTTGACCAAATTCCCTCAGATCCTTTTCTGCCACACAGCTCTTCAGCCACGCTGTCCCCAAACCTATGGCACTGCATGGAGTTGTTGTGACTGAAGTGCAGGACCTGGCACTTGGCCTTCTACATTACAACCTTGTACAAGCTCATACATTTGGCCTCAGCCCATCACTCCAGCCTGTCCAGATCCCTCTGCAGAACCTTCTTCCCCTCAATCCCCTCATCCAGATTGTCAATAAAGATATTAAAGAGGCCTGTCCCAAACACTGACCCCTGGGGAATACTGCTTGTTACTGGTCACTAGTTGATTTTAAGTCCATTCATGACCACTGTCTGGACCTGGCCATCCAGCCAGTTTTTGACCCATCAAAGAGTCCACCTATGTAAGCCATGAGCTACCAGATTCACAAGGAGAAGGCAGTGAGAGACTGTGTCAAAGGCCTTACTGAAGTCTACATAAGGCCTTTGTCTTTGTGGCAAAGGCCTTTGTCTCTTCCACCACATTGGCTCAAGTTGATTCCTTGGCTGTCGTGCACATGCTATGAGATTGCTCTCAAGATGATCCAGCTGGAGGCCTGTACTTAGTGGTGTCCCCTAGGGGTCAGTTCTCGGTCCGGTCCTGTTCAACTTACTCATTAACGACCTGAATGAAGGGCTGGAGTGCTCCCTCAGCAAGTTTGCCGATGATACCAAACTGGGTGGTGTAGCTGATAGCCCTGAGGGCTGTGCTGCCATCCAGAGGGACCTGGACAGACTGGAGGACTGGGCGGTGAGAAATCTCATGAGGTTCAACAGGGGCAAGTGCAGGGTGCTGCACTTGGGGAGGAATAACCCTGGACACCAGTACAGATTAGGGGTTGACCTGCTGGAGAGCAGCCCCGCAGAGAGGGACCTGAGTGTCATGGTGGATGACAAGTTGACCATGAGACAGCAGTATTCCCTGGAAGCCAAGAAGGCCAACGGGATCCTGGGGTGCATTAAGAAGAGGGTCTCCAGCAGGTCGAGGGAAGTGATCATCCCCCTCTACTCAGCCCTGGTGAGGCCACATCTGGAGTACTGCGTCCGGTTCTGGGCTCCCCAGTACAAGAGGGATGTGGAGCTGCTGGGGAGAGTCCAGCGCAGGGCTACCAGGATGATCAGGGGCCCTATGAGCAACGGCTGAGGGAGCTGGGCCTGTTCAGCCTGGAGAAGAGGAGGCTGAGGGGGGACCTGATCAGCGTGTATAAATACCTCAAGGGAGGCAGTGAGGAGGAGGGGGGCGGCCTCTTTTCAGTGGTGGACAGGGATAGGACTAGAGGAAATGGCTTCAAACTGAAGCATCGGAAGTTCCACAGGAACTTAAGGAAGCATTTCTTCACTGTGAGGGTGACAAAGCACTGGAACAGGCTGCCCAGAGAGGTTGTGGAATCTCCTTCTTTGGAGATCTTTAAAACCCGCTTGGATGCAGCCCTGTGCCACGTGCTCTAGGTGACCCTGCGTGAGCAGGAGGGTTGGACTTGATGACCTCTGAGGTCCCTTCCAACCTTGGGCATTCTATGATTCTACGATTCTATGATCTGCTCTACAGCTTTCCCCAATACTGAGGTCCAGTGTAGGACTACAAAGATGGTTAAGGGACTGGGACCACTCTTCTGAGAGGTATGACTGAGAGACTTTGGCCTGTTTAGCCTATAGAAGAGAAGACTGAGAAGGGATCTTATCGCTGTATACAAGTAACTTAAGAGGAGTTAGTACCTTAAGAGAGGATGGGGTCAGGCTATTTTCAGTGTTGGCCAGTGACCAGACTAGAGGCCATAGCCACAAATTGAAACAAAGGCAGGTCCATCCGGATGTGAGGAAAAACTTCCTCACAGTGACAAAGCACTGGAACAGTTTCACCAGAGAGCTTCTAAAGTTTTCTTTTCTGGAGATATTCAAAAGCCATCTGGATGGAGTCCTGTGCAGTGTGTGGTAGGTGACCCTGCTTGATCAGCAGGTTTGAAGTAGATCATCTCCAAAGGTCCCTTCTAACCTCTCCCAGTGTGTGATTCTTACTATTCTGTCATGCCTTTTTTATGCCTTACCATCATCTCCAAAAGATGTTGAAATACAGATCTTTTTTTTCCTCTTTCGTACTATAAGTGAAGATAGTCTTCCTTGCTCCTTTTTCAGGTTTTCCAACAAAAATATTTTCTCTTTTCCTGATGTAGACTTTACAAAACAGAGAAACCCCTTTTTATATATGAACAAGGCTTTCTCATAGTCCTCATTATTTCCTTTGACTGATGAATATTGGTCAAATAGCTGCTAATAATACTTTTCTGGCATGTCCCTATTGCATCTCTTTACGCTTAGAGTGTATGTTATTTGGAAAGCATGGTAGCTCTTTCAGTAATTTTTTGTGCAATCCCTTAACCTGAGAACTGATATTATCGCCAAATAATGAGACTTTTTTGCAGAAATGTAGCAAGTAATGACAATGACATGGCTAAATTGTGTGCTAGCAACTAATTGGTAAAAAAGCAATTTCCATGTACCAAATGCACCTTTTGGGAAAGATACTTCTCATGGGTTTAGAAGGAACTGTCTCTCACTTGCTCATTTAACTAATTAATGATAGGCTCTGAATATGAATATTACAGACCTATGTTCCAAAAGTAAATCCATTTTTGTTCGGAGTAATGGAGAAATGTTACGGTGTTTCAACTTGAGAGATTAGGCTGCCACTCCTCTCTTCCTTTTTTAATGTATTATCAGTGATGGAAAAGCTACAAGAAACTCGACATATCTATGTTTTTGCATAGACAATATCCCTGAAATGACAGAGCCTCTGTTTATATTTATGTATGTGTTTGTATAAAAAAAAAAAAAAAAGAGATTGGAAGTTTGTAAAAGTTAGAATAATTATGTATGTGGGTGGAGGAAAGTTTGCTGTTGCTTTTAGCTCCAAAATATGAAGTATAGTTTAAAGACTGCTTTAGAAGGTGCTAGAAATCTAGAAATTTCTAGCATGGTTGGGGGAAGCTGCTGGGAAGATTGATGAGAACTTAATATATATATTTTATAACTTAATATATATATTTTACAGTGCATTTTTTTTTCTAAAATAATGGGCTGGGTAGGGTGAGGAAGTTCCATGCTCTTTATAGTTCTTGGAGATAAGTCAGAATTTATAACTCTGCAATTGATCCTCCTGTCTTAGGTTTTCAAGATCAAAGCAGTGCAGCTGGCAGGAAAACTTCTTCCAGCCTTCAACACACCCACAGGTATACCATGGGCAATGGTGAATCTGAAAAGGTAATGGATTTTCTTTTGGGGGAAAGGGGAAAAGTGTGGAGAGGGGGAAGTGTGTGTGTTTTCCCTTTTTCTTTTCTCCGTTGCCTCCACCTTCTGCTTATAATTGGTGTTGGCACATAAACTTTTTCTGAAGTAATGAAAGTGTAAAATTTAAAGACAAATTGATATTCCTTGCACTTGAAAATAATTTCAAGAGTTCAGACCATTTTAGTTCATTAATTGTAATAAATTGCATCCATGATTTTTAACTTGTTCTGCAATAAGAATTCAGCACAGAGGAGAACATACCTACTGTATTATGCTATCTGTTACTCTATAACTTTATCACTGATTTTTAAGACATTCTAAATCACACATTCATATTAAAACCAAAAATATTTGCAAGTAGTGGCTAAACTTCCTGGAGTTAGGCAAAGTATGAGCCTTATGTTACATTTCTGAGATTCATCGTGTTTGAGAAGGTGAGGACCCTTGGAGGATGTTGCTCCATTTCACCCTTCAGTATAGATAAAATTGCTAGCCTGTGTTTTTCCTCTGGTCAATGTGAGAAGGAGCAGCTCTAGATAGCTGCTCAAGTCAGAAGGCCTGACTGGGATGACCTGACTCACCTTGTAGAGGAATCTGCCTCTTCACTGATAATGCTAAAATGCCAGGAGTTGGCTATGACTGATACCTCCTTGGTTCTTTTGATTGTAACTTTTACTCAAGTCTTTAACTTTCTTAGAGATGCTTTTGCTGAGTAAAAGTGATGTGATCAGAGTGTTCTTTTGGGCAGTTAGCTACCAAATTCAAAAATCTACACTTATTAGCTAATTTATTTTGTACTGCTTGTGCAACACTGGAGATTTGCTCAAATTTCTGAGAGAGCTTTTAAAATTTTTACTATGTTCTTAACAGCTGAGTTAGGATGCAGCTTAGATTTGTACATTTGAGCAATTTGGAATAATAAATAGTGGAGTTTTTAATATTCAAAAATCAAATTATAAATACAGGAAGTTCAGATTTGAAATGAAATTTATAAAAAGCATCACCAAAATAATAATTCTTTAACTTACACATTATGCGTCCATTATAGCATTATGCATCCGTTTATTGTTAAATATGTTAGTTAATACTATTGCAAATTGTGGTAGTTTCTTTTTGGGTGTCATTATCAAGATAGTTAAACCATTCCGTTCTCCTAACTGTGTTTTTTTAGGTCTTAACATTTTGAGGTTTTACAATCCTTAATTTTGACTTTGCTAGATTACATGTGCAGTTGCCCCCTTCCTCTCCCTCCCGCCTCAGAAAAAAAAAAAAAATCATTTTTCTGTATATCTAACTAAATCCAAAGAGGAGTGAAAGAAAGTAGGAGTGTTAAAAAATGCTCAAAAATAGGAATGTTAAAAACTGTTAATCATTTTAGGAGAAATGTTTGTAGGTCTTTGCTAGAATATGAAGTGATTTAGGAGTATTTTGAGAGTCTGCACCCTGCTGCCAGTGTGTGTGAATGGGCAGGTGGTCATACTGCGTCAGCAGCATTTGATTCCCTGCTTCAGTCCTAGTTGACAAGGCTTAAGAAGTTGCAAGTTAGGCACAAATGGATATGGAGCAGGAACATATGGACACAGATCCCTTAGGTCAGAGCAGCACCAGGAAGGCAGTAGCAGGGGTCAATTCCCAGTAATCTAATGGGCAAGGATTGGAATACTAGAATTTCCTTATGTGCTTATAGTTGTCTGATTTTATTATGTTAATATATTGGTAATGTACAGAACCAGTTGGCATAACAGGAGAAAATACAGTGGCTGGTATGCAGGAAGGCAGTGATAACAGCACACGTGCATCTGAATGTATGTTGTGATGCTGATGTACAGTAAAGGCAAGACTTGCAAGAGCTAGAAAATGACAACTCTTTTTATTGTTTGTTGTAATAATTATGAAACACTTTTCCATTTTTATGGTAGCTGTACTAAGAAAAAAAATGAGACTATGCTTTCCTCTGTATTTTCTGTACACAGAGGTTATTGTGTTTTATAAAGGAAGATCTTTTGTCTCAAGTGGGGACTACAAATACTGCTTCATTACCACCACTCTTTTCTCATTTCTTTTTTCCCTTTTTCTAATAAACAATTTAAGAAATCAATAAGGCATTCTTCAGTGGTTTGGGTGTTATTCACAGCCTCCAACTGAATTCTGGTATGAGAAGATATAGGAATCTTCTTCAAGAAACTGTAGTCTAACATGGTTCATTAAAAGACCTTATCCTGAAAGGTGGCAAATACTCCCACAGTAAAATAAACGAAATTAGGTTAAAAAGAGTTTTTGAGGCTCACGATATAGAGACAAGAGAAAATATTGTATATCATACTTCCTCTTGTTGCTATATCATGAGACGCAAAAACTCATTATGCCTACAATAAAAATAGAGCTTTTCCATGTACCTGTACAAAGGCAACGCTCATCTAGTTTCAATTTTTAACATTGACTTCAGCAGATCCCACATGAGTAAACAGAGTGCAGCAAATGTTTGACAGAATGAGAAAGCTAGAGCTACTGCATCTGGAAGTATAGTTTTATTATGATATATCAATTTTGATGCTTAATCTTAGGAATGTGCTATCAGTAGAAACATAGATTGGGCCTAGTGTTAAAATATACTTCTGTGACATAAAGACTTTTTTCTAAAAAAAAAGACAAAAAAAACAATCCAGCCAATCAAACAACTAGTACAACCAGAACTCTTGTAATCTTAAGTGTGGATTAGTATCTTGCTATATATTACCTCAATGATTTGGCTTGTTATTGTTGACTAGAGATATGCGCAGTAAATCTGTTCTTTTCATTCTTTCCTCCCCTTTTTATACATGTTTGCTGGAACTCAGTGGTGTTGGTCGAAACTGGGGCTGGGCTTCTGCAGGGAGCAGCATCCTCGCAGAGTTTGGTACTCTGCACATGGAGTTTGTCCATCTCAGCTACTTGACTGGGGACCCTGTATACTACAACAAGGTGAGTCTCAAATTCATTTTTTTGTCACACAAGATTCTTTTATATAGTCCTGTCATAAATTGCATTATATGAAAATGCTTTTTGTATTGCATTTTCTAATGTATTTATTTCTTTCTATTTATGTTTTTGTGGTAGCTAATTTATTTCCTTTTCTATTACCAAAATAGATTATTTCTTCAAAGAGAAATTTATGACAATAAAGCTTTTTTATTTATTTCGATATGTATTTAGAAAAATAGAGAATTTAAAACACATTTTTGTGAGTCATCTTTGAAAACCAAAAGAGTACTGATCTTTAGGGAGCCATCAAAAAAGCTGCTATGGTCAGATTAAGAAAATTAGCTATTGTAAAGAAACGAGACTTAATTAGGGCAGAGATCAGACGAAAGTTATTAGTGGTGATCCTGATTCTTGATTTAATTTAGGTTATGCACATTCGGAAGTTACTTCAAAAAATGGATCGTCCTAATGGACTTTATCCGAATTATTTGAATCCAAGAACAGGCCGATGGGGTCAACGTAAGTATTTGCTATTCTGTTTATTTATAATTAAAGCTCTATTTAATACTGTGTGGCTGAATTGGAAATTAGAAAATTTATTCTGCAGAGAAAGAGCAGCATTGCTTGAAAATATCGTATGTAAAAGAATTGCTTAGGCTTGAGATTTTCTGAAGTCATGTTTTGACAATCAGCTCTCTCAGAATTCTGCCAACTCATTTTAAGGTACTTTCTAAAAACAGCGTTCTAGATATGTTCTAAAAGGTACATGCTAAAAACAGTATTCAAATCTGTCTTTTATTTGTATCAGTCAATAAAATCCTCACAAATAAAGAATGAGTAAAATGACTGAAAAAATGGTTTCCTTATTTTGATTTTTTGTTCCTGTTTTTCTTTTCTTCTGTGAGCCATTTGGAAAGAGAATTACTGTTTGTACAAATACTTTTTATAGATAACTAATGCATGCTTTAGCTGATGAAATTTGAGGGCTTACACCAGAGACCCTTAGTCCCTCATCAGGGACTAAACTTTGTAAACACCATGGTTTTACTTACTGGTACCTGAAATGGCGTGATGCTTGTATCAATGCATGCTCATAAAATGCAGCTTTAGAATGGAAAGAAGCAATTGGTTTTGATGGCAATGTAAGTGGAGAAGTAAAATACAAACATATTTCCTTTTCTTGACGTGATTCTTAAAAGAAGAACTGTATATTTTAGTGCTGTCGTAGTGGTTGTGGATAATTCTTTTTTTTTTTTTCTAAAGACATCTATTTCATTTTATTTTATAAATGAAGGAAAATGAGGAAATAAGGAAAATTTCCTTATTTAAGGAAAATGAGCAAGATGGTTAATTTCTATGTTGTGTGACACAATGGCATGTTGTGACACAATGGCAGGTTTTGGTGATTTCAATGGTTGTCTGTAAATATTGACCACTACATGTTCTGAACTTACAGGTTGAGAATTTGCTCTTGATTTTGAGTTTGATATCTAAGGAAAATGAATACAGTTGTAATTGCCATGGCTGTCAAAAGTCAATACAAATACTCATCTGTTTATTCAAAAGGCAGCTTGATGTTTTTGTTTGTCATAGAATCATAGAATCCTTAAGGTTGTAAGGGACCTTTAGAGATCATCTAGTCCAACCTCCCTGCACTCACAGTCCAACCTCCCTGCACCTGCAGGGTGCAACCTCCCTTTTCCAGTGCTCTGTCACCCTCACTGTCAAGAAATATCATTCTGAAATACTGTTTTTCTATTCCTTTTTCTTTTTCTTTTTTTCTATTCCTAACCACTTGCTTCTGCTATTTTTATTAAAAATAGTGTAATTTGGCATGTAACCAAGATTCTTTAGGGACTCTTTATCTTTGTTGTAGTAATAATGCTCAGAATTAGCAAATCTGGGGAAGAAATAATCCAGGTCACTGAAAATAAAAGTTCAGTGAACAGTGGAAGTTTTAACTTCACTGACATTTGATTGAGGTTGGACATTTTTTAAATAATTTTTTAAAGATATCTTTTGGAATAGAGTTTAAGACACAGATTGATGCTGAAATTCATAGGATGAAAAGACTTGCACCTTTTTAGAGCATTTAGTTCTGTGCTGCCCACTAGCTACAAATGCATTTCCTAAAATTTTAGATGTTGGCAGACACATTTTTCATGCAAATAAGGTCTGTAATGCAGAAAAAGATATTTGGATAGAGTTTCTAAGGTTCCCAAGTGCTACGGGCATTTATCAGCCTATCTTGAAAAGTTTTGTGGAGACATGAGAATGCAAATCTGTAGTTCTGTTTCCGTTCTAAGAAAAGGAATGGGTGAAGCACTCTCTCTGTTCAAACACTGACAGATCACTCCTCAGGAGACCCAGAAATTTGAGAACGTAGCTTTAACTGTAAGTGCATATGCACCACGGCACAGGATTTATGAGCTGGAACAGCTAAGGCTTAGCCAGCTGTTCCTTTCTTCCAGTTCTGTTGCAGAGATCATATGCTGCATCACAGAAGTCAGTTAAGTAAGGGTGGCATCTGCATTCAGTAGCTGTCAGTTCACTGGAGGACTTGTGTCAGTCTGTAAATATACTAAAAATACTAATTTTACTCATGCTGTTGATGGGACAGGATAGACTTTTACATCCTCTTCAGAAGATAAATTCAAAAAGCATTAGCTTGTTATATGCTTTTGTGCAGGATAGACTGAGACGATAAAACAGCAAATTACAACTTTTTTTTTCCTTTCAGCTTCTGGGAACCTGCCATTTTTATGTCTGCCATGACCTTTAGTTTGGTACATCTTATTTTTTACAAGCTACTTTCTCCAGATAGGCTTTTCAGTTTTTTTCAGAACTCTCTATTTGTCTACGTACATGTAACCTTATGGCCATAACCTTTCTGTGTTTTCTTTATTTATTTTTCTTCTCTTTGGACAGTTTGATTTTTTTCTCCTTATCACAGCTTATTGGCTCATTCCCAGTTAGGATTTTCATTTAATCTGTGCAGTCTTCTGACTAATTTATGAGAGGTGTGAAATAGATGAAATAAACCTGTCACACATACATGTAAACTTTTGAAGACCTACGGGACTCAGCTGAAATATAATGTTCTGGTGCTGGCTATTGTATAGCCAGCTAGAGTAATAATAACATCTGTGTTGTGCGTATAATTAAATAGACAAACTAAAGTTATTACTACCGGCTGATCATCTAAAGATCACTATACAAAATATATAATGGAAGAGTCCATTTAGGTAATGTTTTCTTTCTAGTCTTACTTTGTCTTTTACAATTACCTTTTACATTCTTCGAAAAAAAAAGAAAACTAATATATGTGATTTGAATGAAAAAATATATATACTGCTATTATTTCTCTTTAATTTTGTTCTAACAAGGTGTCAGGTGAACCTAAAGGCTCAGAGCCATTTTCTGATTCAAGACAGATTTAAATGAACAAAGAGAAACCTCCAATGCTTTTTGTGGTCTTGGTGTGGGCATGTAGGACCAGGAGCTAGATGTATCTCTACTTGTAACAGATGTTTTATGGAAAGAACTGACAGCACTTTGATATTTTCTTAAAAGGGGGCACAGATATTTGCATAAGGACTCTAGCTACATCCTATGCTTAATGAGAAAAAGCAAGGATAGCAGCTACTCAGAGCTACAATCCTAAATATTAAGTGCTTTCATAAGCAACTCGTGCCTTTGAAATGCCTCATTTAGAAATCTTTCCTTCTTCCTTGCCCTCACAAAAGTCTCAGATTTTGCAGAATCTAAATGTTGTGTTGACCATCTGACCTTTAAATGGATTGGATTTAATTGACAAATATGAAATTTATACCTCAGCTTCTGGTGTAGAGTAGGTGGATTGAATTTTACTACACTTAGCTTTCCTACAAGATCTTATGATAGGGGAAGGTGATGTTTATTTGCAAAATTGTAAAGCAAATCCATTTTTACTTACTTGCACCCATTTTTTATTACATTTAATTCATTCACGCTGTCATATGTGCAGGCACGAAGTCATCTGGGTCCAGTGGTCTGGACACAAGACAGAGACACTCGACCTCCAGTCCTCAGCACTTCTGTATGGCTCTTGCATGACAATAAGCTACTTTTTGGACAGGAGTCTGCTGCCTTTTAGGAGTTATCAGTTGTTAGGATTTGTAAACTCAGAATTCTGCCGATTCTATTCAGAATCGGCAAGATTCTACCTCAGAATCTTGTTGACTTCAACCTTCAGAAATGGACCGTCTTGCTGAATATTGTCTGGTTTTCCTCATTTGAATGTATATTTAAATCAATTAAATTTAAAATTAATTAAATTTAAATTAAATATACATTCAAATGAGGAAATAAATTTTCCTCATTTGAATGTATATTTAAAATGTGGATCTGCTCTCTTGTCGGGCAAGTAGGAAAAGTAATTCTTGCCATCCTCCTGATGTTAGCATACAGAGTTTTCTTCTGATAAGTCGTCTGTGTTAGCAGAGTGCAGTCTTTTGGGCCTTGGCAAAACCAGCATATTTCTGTTTCGCTGCTGAACATCAGTGTGCCAGCCACAGAGTCCTGGGCCGTAGTATCCGTATTGCAGGCTGTCCTTTCAGCCCTTGGTTCTATTTTTGCCTCTGGTGCTTACACACATACACACACACATATTTCCATTCATAGTTCACAACCCTGCAAAGGTGTAGTCAGTAAAATAACTTAAATCAGTTCATGAAAATAGTTTCACCAAGAAGAACTTGGCTGTGGCAGCGGGATACTTGAAAAGTTGGTGAGATGAGTACAGTCACATAGTGTCACGTGAATATCATCTATAAACATGCTTTTTAATCTTTACTTTTTTCTGTATATAAATTTATATATGTGTGTAATGTATTTTACTCAGTATTTCTGCCTTCCATATAAAATAGGTAGAGGGAAGTGGGTAGCACCACCACAGAAAATACCACTTTGTTATATTGTATCATTCCTTTCCCTTTGATTGCTGTAAAAGCTTTTGATTGCTGTAAAAACTGCTGTAAAAACTCTTGGGACCACCTGTAGTAGACCACCCAAAAACAAGCTTCTTGTTTTTCTTGTTTTTGTTGATGCCTGTTTTGCTTGGTATAAACGTTAGTCCTGGAATGCAGTTATTTTCAGAAAATTTGGTTATTTTCAGTTATTTCCTAGAGAAGTTGGCTAGGCAGAATATAAGAATTTTTATTAAAATCAAGAAATTTCAGAATTGCTAAAATTGATTCCTTTTGAATAAAAATTGAATTTGTCAAAATGACTGTATGTTGAAAGGTTTTTCTTTAATTCTAATTTCCTTTTGCAAACAGGTTAGATACGGACATGAATTAAAACATATATAACAAAGAGCATGATAGGCTTCATGTTATTGCCAGGTCAGAAAATGCCACTACTATTTTTATGTTATTGGTAATTTTTCTGTCATTATTTCTTTCACTTTTTTTATAAGAAATATGCTTGGATATATACTTGCTAAGGAAGAAATAAGAATAACTTAATGCATTTCATCT